CGGCTGGCGACCCCCAGGGGGAGGGCCTTCTCGGTTGGAGCCCCCACCCTATGGAACGAACTACCCCCAGAGATCCGGGTGATTCCGGATCTCCCCTCCTTCCGCCGCGCCCTCAAGACATGGCTATTTAAGCTAGCAGGACTGGCCTAAGGGTTATCTTAATTTGGTTTTAAAATAATTTTAAAAAGAAAAGGCCAATTTAATATTCTATTTTAATTACATTTTAAAATTAGTATTTTTGTATTATGTACCTGTTTAAGATGGCTGTAAGCCGCCCTGAGTCCGCTGGGAGAAGGGCGGGGTAGAAATTTAATAAATAAATAAATAAATTTTAAAAAAACAAACTAGATCATTCCGGGATAGATTTTGTTCCATAAAGCACCTAGCATATTTGTTGTGCATTGAACATCATTTTCTAAACTTGAATGATGGCTTGGTATTTCTCAGCCACCTTCATCAATCTCCATTTCCCGAGATTTCAGTATTCTCACTGCAATATCCGCAAGACCTCACACAGTGATACCAAAAATTTCGCCAGATTTGGAACTGCGAGAAAAAAACAGCCCATTAAAAAGTTTTAATTTAAATGAGGTGTCAAAAGTGACATTTGCAGAGTGACTGATACCCTGGTATTTGCAGATATGGCATTTGTTATTCCTTTGTTAAAAATGCCTAGGAAATTCAGTTTTCCTGTTTAGGAAAAAATAATCAATTTACATTACTGACTTTACTGAATCCAGGGAAGTATTTAATTGAGAGTCTGCAGTTATTTCAAACAAGAGTGAGCAGCCTATGAGCTTCATGAGATTTCAAACGCTACTCCCTACACATTTTTTTTTTTTTTGGCAGTCATTTTTCTGAATATTTTGAGCAGGAAACAAAACTGTCAAATAGACTTAACACATCTTAAAAAGTATTTTTAAAAATCTACACCCTGAGGGCTCTCCCCCGGAATCTGAGCTATGCCAAGCCCATGGATTTTAACAGTTCCTGGCAGGCACAAATCTCGGCAACTGCGGTGGGATAAATGTGTAACATTTTCTGGGTGCCATCCTGAAACTCTCCAAGCATATGCTACAGAGACCGGAGATAAAATGACTCTTAATGTAGTTGGAAGAGCTTTTCCTGGACATCCATTTTCAGGAGAACAGCTTCCAGATTTGGCAAGCATTTGTTTAGGAACAATTTTCTATTGATCTGTCTTTGGTTTCTCTTTTTTGACTTCACCAGTTGAAAGCTTATCCTTCTAAAGCAGGTGACATGGTTTTATATTCTAGGCCAGGGCTTTTCAATCAGTGGTATGGATACCACCTGTGGTACATTGGCATCTGGCAGGTGGTACGCGACCATCCTGAAAAAGTGGTAGCGGGGAAGGGGAATGAGCTGAACCGCAGCACCGCAAAAGCCTGAGCGAGAGATGGCTGGAGCTGCAGGGCTGTTGGGCTCAGTGGAAGCACCAGGATCAGTGCCGCTTCTTAGCTGATCAGCGCTTCGGGGCTGTCAGGGCTCAGTGGAAGCGCCAGGATCAGCGCCAGGGTCCAGCTGGAGCTCGGCGCTGATCCTGGTGCTTCTGCTGAGCCCTGAAGAAGCACCAATCAGCTGGAAAGCAGCATTGATCCTGGCACTTCTGTTGAACCCAGAAGAAGCGCCGATCAGCTGGAATGTTGCAGCATCTCCAGGGTCTTATGATTTACATTCAGATGCTTGGCAACTGATTCATATTTATGATGGTCACAGTGTCCCAGGGTCATGTGAAGTGACCAAAACCTGCTGCAACCACCCAGCAGATGGGGGGAATAAAAACCAACCCCCCACCCCCGCTGCCAATCCTCAACAGAATTGCTCACAACAATGAAAACCTCGGACAGGAGGAAGAGCGCCGCCAGGTGGGCAGGCAGGTATTTGCTCGGCTGTGGCTTGGAGGGCACTTTTTCAGTGCCATTGTAACTTCGAACAGTCACTAAGCGAACTGTTGTAAGTCGAGGACTACCTGTACTTTATCACTTTTTCCCTTTTTTTTTTGTTCATCAAGTTTTTGACACCTTGCTAGGTGACTGGTGGTATTCGGATATTGCCATATCCTAAAAGTGGTACAGTGGGTGAAAAGGTTGAAAAGCCCTGTTCTAGGCCAGAGGTCCCCAACCTTTTAGGCACCAGGGCCTGGTTCTGTGGAGAAAGTTTTTTCCACAGACCGGAGGGTGCGTGGTTTTGTGTGCTGCCTGTATCCCGCAGATGGGGCTTGCTTGTTTGTGCGTACCAGTTCCTGGCATGCCACGGCCTGGTACTGGTCCATGGACCAGGGGTTGGGGACCCCTATTGTAGGCTGTGTATTGCAATTTTTTAAAAAATGTTGCTTTTAAAAAATAAAACCGCCACCTGCTGAGGTTGTGTATTAAGAAACATGATCTCAGCCTTCCCTTCTTTTTTCCAGGTGATGATAGAATTTTGTGAGTTCACTATAAATACGTTTCGGCATTAATTTAGTGTGCACTTCTTCAGAGATAACTAATTGAAATTCAAATGTAATAATTTTTGTCTTCCCTTTTTTCTTCCATTAGTTGCAGTTGCCTTTTTTTTAAAGACTTTGTACACTTGGTGCCCTTAAAAATGCAGACTTTTTTTTCTCCTTTTAAAATAAAAATGGTTAAGTTGCTGCAAAATAAGATAGCAGACATTTGTTTAAGCCAATGAACACAAGTTATTCATTAGGCAAGAAAAACCAAATGTACGGTTATAGTATAGGTGGTACCTTGCTCAATAGTAGCAACTGTGAGAGGGATCTCGGAGTCCTAGTGGACAATCACCTAAATATAAGCCAGCAGTGTGCTGCAGCTGCCAAAAAAGCCAACACAGTGCTAGGCTGCATTAAAGAGGGACAGAATCAAGATCACGTGAAGTATTAATACCACTTTACAATGCCTTGGTAAGGCCACACTTGGAATACTGCATCCAGTTTTGGTCACCATGATGTAAAAAAGATGTTGAGACTCTGGAAAGAGTACAGAGAAGAGCAACAAAGATGATTAGAGGTCTGGAGGCTGAAACATATAAGGAACGGTTGCTGGAATTGGGTATGTCTAGTTTAATGAAGAGAAGGATGAGGGGGGACATGATAGCAGTGTTCCAATATCTCGGGCTGCCACAAAGAAGAGGGAGTCAAGCTATTCTCTAAAGCGGCTGAAGGCAGGACAAGAAGCAACAGATGGAAACTAATCAAGGAGAGAAGCAACCTAGAACTAAGGAGAAACTTCTTGATAGTTAGAACAATTAACCAGTGGAACAACCTGCCTCCAGAAATGGTGAATGCTCCAACACTGGAAGTTTTTAAGAAGAGACTTGACAGCCATTTGTCTGAAATGGCATAGGGTTTCCTGCCTGAGCAGGGGATTGGACTCGATGACCTCCAAGGTCCCTTCCAACTGTGTTGTTGTTGTTATTGTTGTTGTTTTGTTATTGTTGTTGTTGTTGTTGTTGTTGTTGTTATTATTATTATTATTATTATTATTATTATTATTATTATTATTATTATTATTATTATTATTATTATTATTCCTGTATAAAAGAATTTAGGCTGCCAGGGCTGCATTGTGTCTAGCATTTATAGATTTCCCTGACATTGTATGAGCTAAGTCACGTGGTGTGACTTTTTTTGTATTGCCGGAGCTGGGGTGTGTGCGGCCTCCGTATGATGCAAGCGGCCTAAGGGCCGGCATTTTGACACCCCTGAGATAAATAAATAATAAGGGGAAAATGCCTATTGTTGATACTAGTGAAGGGGAGAAAAGGAAAACATTGAATATGGATAACCTCTATTTAAAAAAAAAACCTTGGAAATTTAGAATGAGATCCCCTGTGAAATTCATATTGGCTTTCCCTAATAACCTGGTTGTTCTTCAAGGCCTTGTGTTTGACGTGGATTAGGGCCCCTTGTTAGTTGTGCTTTTGTTTTTTTTATATAGCATAATAAAAATAAACAAACAAAAGCACAACTAACAAAGAGGCCCTAATCCACGTCAAACACAAGGCCTTGAAGAACAACCAGGTTATTAGGGAAAGCCAATATGAATTTCACAGGGGATCTCATTCTAAATTTCCAAGGGTTTTTTTTTTTAAAAAAAAATGTGGCAGGATTCTTTTCTTTTCTTTTTAAACTTATATTGTGAGCCTCCTCCAGCTGGAATTGGGTGGTGCCTAAATTGAATCAAATAAATAAATAAATAAAACATGTTTCTATTTCCTAGGTAACTATTATGGAACACCCAAACCTCCCAGCCAATCCCTCAGTGGGAAAGTGAATAATGCTGATGCTTTGCAAAATCTCCCCTCAAGTTCCAAGCAGACAACTCCCAAACGAACCAAGTCCTACAATGATATGCAAAATGCTGGTTTAGTACATGCAGAGAATGAAGAGGATGACTCCCCTGAAATGAACAGTAGCTTTACAGGTAAATTCCCTCC